AAAGAGTGTTTCTGTTATTAAAACATTTAAATTGACAATTGGACAATTATGTTACTACCTTCGTAAGTACCTGACATTTAATTGTGACAATCTGATTTTCAGAAAGCGAAAAGTGGAAAAGTTCAATGAAACTATGTTAGCTGCGTAAAGAACCAATTTATATATCGACATTACAATAGATGTATTAAAAGTGGAGTTAGTAGCGCTGCTTGTTTGGCGAATAGGTGTTCTGTGAATTTAATTCACCAGATATTTGCTATTTTCGAGAAGAACCGAGAATAGAATTATATAGTTTCCATAGTTTGACGTTCAGTGCGTTAAATTTTACCGACGTACGTGGAAGATATTGTAGATTTAGTAAGAAATGTGTATACAGGGACAAGTATAATACTAATTGCATAAAAAGAGGAATAGTAGACGCAGTAGATATAGTAATAAATACATAAAAAGGAGAATAGTAAACATAGTACGTCTAGTAACAAATGTTTAACAAAAGGAATAGCAATCATAAGGTATAGTAACACGTACATAAAAAAAGGAAGTAGTAAACACGGTAAATGTAAAGAGGGAGACGAGGTTCGCGCTTTGGTTCGTGAGAAGACTGCGCGTCGTCCCCCTTCCGTTGAACGTCCAGCCGACAATGAAAGTAGACGTTCCCTACGCTTGACAGCCGTCCGTTCTTTCCTTTTTCTCGATTTTCGTCGTTTTTCTTCGTGGCAACGGCCTCGCCGGTGCTCGTATTCGCGGTTACCTACGCCTCGAACGACCCAATTCCGGATTTGAGTAGGCCAACCGACCGCAACGACGGACCGGAATCGGAAGGGAAAAATTCCTGCGCGGCGTGTAAAAGCGGAAGTCGTCCCTGCGAACCGGATCCCTTGTCCTCTGCCTTTGTCGGACTCGTCGGTACAATCGGTCACGAAAATTTCTTAGGTAAAAGCCAAATGACTTCTTCACTTTTATCTTATTAGAGTAGAATGTAATTGTTTATGTAAATAAACTTGGTTTCCTTGTGGAGGCTGACTGGAAAGAGTAAGAATTGTGTGAAAACTTGTTTTCTTTACAGAAGGTATTACCAGGTTTGAAATTAGATGAAAGTTTCGTTGAATTTTGAATTGAAAAGAACGATTAATTGATTTAATGAATATAATAGCAACACGTAATTCTCTCACTGTTAATAGGAAAGAAAGATTCGTTTGGTCCCTCATTCATGAGAGAATTAAGTATTCTTTCGGAGAGATACTCGTGTCAACTTGCGTAATTTAATTCTGAAATGTGCTCACAGTAGAATCAACACTGGTAGGACACAACTTTATTTACATTCTACTAAATTTGAAAAAAATCTTTCCAGCACTATTCTCATTGAATCAATGAAAAATTCTAGTTTTGACACTAGATTCACAATTATTTATTACACAGATCCAAGAAACCAGAAAACTTCAAAAACCGAGAACTACGATTGCGTGTTCCTACAGTTGCGTCAAACAAAATACACAAACTTCTACCAAATAATATTAACCAGACGTAACATCCTTCAATTTGACGGGTTCCAGAACGGTCTCCATCAATTTTCTGTAATATCCCTAGAAATTACATCCATCGACGCTGGAACCGGTAAACTTCACTGATTATCGAAGAATTTATGTCACCAACGTCGTCCGTAATGTCATGGTACACGATTTCCGAGACCACCGACAGTTTTACACGCAAAAACCGTCGACGGTTTACTCGGGAAGAAGCGTAAGCCGATGCAGCATTGAAAATCGAGCACGATCGATCGGCGGAACAGAGAAGCGCAGCCCGGTTTGTGGGTCGGGATGGCAAAAATGAGGGATCGGTGAAAATCCGGCTCGCCGGTCGGAAGTTGCTCGTAAAACGGAAACGTTAGTTTCACTCGGGAACGAGCGGAGAATCTCTCGCTAGAACGGGGGAATAAATAAGAAAAACAAGCCGTTTCGGTTTCTGGGCCGAGAAAGCGCAAAAATCGGCGGCAACGATCGCACCCGACGCCACCTACGACCGTGAACAGGGCCGCGATCGATGATTTATCGACCGTGAAGAGAACCGTTTCTTCCTCGTTTGCCCGGACCTCGGACAACATTGTCTCGACACGCGAGGCTCGTTCCATTTAATTAAGTTTCGATTAGGCCGAGTTCGAGCGTGTCTAGACAAGCTGTTCGTTTGCCTGAGTGGTTAACTTCGAAACGCAAAATGAGAAGATAGATAAGTGGACAAAATAATCGTAAAATAGAAAAGTAGACGGGATAGTTATAAAATGGTAAATTAGACGACATAACCGTGAAACAGAAATATAGATAAGACCGTTGTGAAACAGAACAGTAATCGACATAATCGTGAAATAGAAATGTAGATAAAATGATCGTAACATAGAAAAACAAAATAATAACGAAATAGATCAATTTGACGGAATTGTATACTCGAAGGAGCAATCAAGATTTTTCCTAGTAGAATTTGGCAGTATTACAGAAATGGAGCTCGTTGATTCGAAATGTGAACGAGTCAGATGCAAATTAGGATCTCTCTGCAGTCTCCGTCGAATCGAGTTCGAACGAGTCTTAGATTTTAAAGGAATTAATTAGATAAAACTTTATTCATTGATTTCTAATTGGTTTTCACGTATTCAGGGCTCTCCGTTTTACGTCTCGACGAAGACAGAGTTAGTTTCGTTCGGGATTTGGTTGGTCTTATATCAAGCTTTGGATCAGTGTTTCCGTGGCGTGTTTTCAATCGCGGATGAAGCAGGAAATCATCAACCAAGATTAGATTGAACTGATTATCATTATTCGTTTGAATTAATTAATTTTATTGGTTCGAACTAACGATTGGTTTAGAATAACATAACGGGTAACCGGTTTCCAATGAGATACTCCTCGGAGAGTAGGGATAATCGTTCCCTTTCTTTTTTTGTTTAAGATGCAACTTGTATCCGAAGAAATCTGAAGCTCTCGAAGAATTAGGAACAACTCGGTGACGATGACTGACACTCCAAATCATAACCAGAAAAACCAGCGTGTAAAGCAGCCGCTGATTGTCCACGCCGGTGCAATTAGTGCGTGACGAATCCAGGCTTTTTCAGCGTGGTACACACCTCGAAGACGTTCACAACACGAAAAACGCATATTTATTTGTTTAAATTCTGTCCAGCTTCGTTGATCTTCGTCCTCGGTGTTCGGTGGACTCGAAGACTATTATAGAATCGATGAGGAAGCTTGAAAAAGAATTTTCTGAATTTCTTGAAAAAGAATTTCAACGCTAGCGCATCAATTTCGTGAACAGTGCACAAAGGTCGAACAAAAATAACACTATACATCGAATTCTGATCAAGTCTAAACAAATCTTTTCCCGAAAATTCAAAGAGCACTAATAACAACGATATCATTAACAATATTATTTATCCACAGTCAAGAACCCTGCTCTTTACCAAATCCTACAGACAAATTACATTTCATCCTCAGGACTTAGAACTCGCAAATCGAATCAATATCAAAATGCACTTGTTAAGTTCTAAACGGCAGTAAACCGTTGCAGTTAACAAATGGTAATTACAATACTACTATTGCAATATCTACTTGCCATCGCTATAACTAATATATCTATTCCCTACTGTTCCATTATTACCACGATCCAAAAACATTTCACGAAACCGTTTCTCCTCGAGAACTCAGGGGTTAGACAGTAGCCTACAGCTGTAAGAATAACTGTAACATTAGCGTTCGATGAATCGAAAACCATTTCGCAAAAGCATTTCTCCTCGAGAACTCAGAAACAGGGGGTTAGGACATTATTCCTGTCCATTCGTATATCGATCTATATCCGCGGCCGTCGTAAAACCGCGAATAACATTGTCTCGCCGGCTCCTCCCGCTGTCGGGACAATTATCACAGGACGCGGAGCTGGAGGGGAAAGAATAGATCCCGAGATAGGAGAGAAGGATGAGCGCGAGCGAGCCGGCCGTCCGTTCTCCGGGTTTGACCAAAGGTGCGCGCGGTGTCGACCGCGTGCACCGGCCTGGCCGCAGAGCGAGACACAAAATGGACCAAGCCACCGGGAAGTGGGGACCTGGATTAAAAGCAAACGAGGGCAACGTCTCGGCGACAGAGCCATCTCGGACCTTGAGGAGTCGAGGTCGAGCAGAAACGCACGCGCTCGTTCCACAACCGGTGATAAAACAGAGCGCACGGCACACAGTTCATTCGGCGAGCAACCGAGAAACGGGATTTCCGGTGTCCGACGGGCCGATCCTGGTCGCCCACGTGATCGTACGCCGCCGCCTGGACCTCAGCCGACGATCCACGACACGGTCAGTGATGGTGTCCATTTTCAACCCTTGTCTCCTTTTCTCGTTTCGTCTTTACCGTACATAACGTAAACGGGATATGGAGTATTCCTTAAGTTTCTTCAGATTCCTTCTGTAAATCGGGGATATTGTCTTATCTCTTTATTCTGAATTTGTATTACTAGCTTGAATTTTTGGAAAACTTGAGGATAGGAGCATAGACATAAGAATTTTCAACCCTTGTCTCCTTTTCTCGTTTCGTATTCGCCGGACATAATGTAAACGGGATATAGATCGGAAAAGTAGTATAAGACAGTACTAAACTCTGTGAAAATTTCCCCACTGGTCAATTCGAGTTTTCAACGATTTCAGTATGGAGTAACACTTATCAATAGATTCGTAGATATCTAAAGAGTATATCCATAGATAAATCACATTACATCAGTACCATTACTGTAACCTACTTTCAATCTACCAACAGCATTAATCGACGGTCGTAATAAATTGAGCTCTAGTCAACTAATTACATTCGTGCCATCATCAGTAGCGTACAATGAAATCAAGTTTCGCTCTGTCGTGATCTCGATCGACTGTACTCCGCGTTAATCCGTTGTGCGCGCGAAACAGGTCAAGTTCACGAAAAAGGTGATCAGGACCGGAAAGTTTCGAAAGTGCAAGCGTCCACTTTCCCCCTCGGTTCCAGATGCTGCTGAGGGGAGCGATCTGCCTGTTGCTCCTGGTGGCCTTGACCCTGACCGGCGGCCGGTGCAGCACGCGATACTTCGTCAAGATGAGGACGAACGCGTCCGATCTGTTCAGAACGAGGGGGGACAATTCGAGGATGCTGGAGGACTCGGACACCAGCCCGTCCCACTACCAGTCGAGGACCAGTAACTACCAATCCGAGGAAGATGAGAGAAGAACGAAGGACGCGAAGCCCGAGAACGAACAGAAGAACCAGTTCGAGACGTCCACGTTCAATCCGGACGTGCTGAACAAGTTCCTTGAAGAGTACGCGAATAAAATTAAGGGCAGCACTGAGAAGTACCCTAGATTCCCGTTCAGGATCGTGAAGCCTGCCGAACCCTTGCTGCTCGAACTGGATGACCCGACCACGCACACAACCAGCGTTAGCTACAACCACGAGACCAAATTCGAAGTTAACGTGGAGAACACCACTGCTGCTGAGGACTCGGTAGGTCTACGAATTTTTGGGAGATCATTTATGAAGCATCTACTATTTAGGAATAAGTGTTGCCATATTGATAATGTTGATAGTTAATATAAGAGCCACTGGACAGGATAAGGTGACCATTCTTGGTTTCTTCTTTTTGTGGTTATTGAAAGGACAATAGATGATTCCATGGGAAATTGTAGAAATTGACTTAGCGATACGGAAGCTGAATTGTAGATCAATAGAAATCTAAATGGATTCTTGGAGTTGTTGTCGGAAAATTTCGAGAAGACAATTTCACTGGTCGGTAGTTGTAGCGTTAAGAGCGAGTAAGTTTCTACTTTTTTAGTAATGAGATTTTGCTACCTACGGAAGAGATTTTTAATAGTTTAGAGGTCCTCGATCGTCATTATTCGATTATTTGTTAATAGATAGATGAGTATAAAATTGTTCAGGTTTTTGTAATCTGATCGTAAGTTTCGTTTGTTTAAAGCTTTTTGAATAGGCCGACGAATTTCTCGTTGAATATGAAATTTGTTCAGAAATGAAGAATAACTTAATCGTTTTTGTTTCAGCTGAGCGAAGCTTTGAACGATACCCTGAAAAGGAACAAATACTACGGCGCGAATTCATACGAAGACAGAAACGGCTGGGTCACTCTAGAAGCGATCCCGTGGTCCAAGAGTAAAATTTCGAAATGGCAAGCGACTGCCACCACTCAACGACCCTGGCCGGAAGTGAAGCCATGGGAGAAGCCTAGCATGGGAAAGCCTTGGGCCTCTGACTACTCTGTCAGGCCGATTTACGAAAATAATAAGCCATGGTAAATTAAAAGTTTCATATAAAAATTTTCATACACAATGCTTATATAAAAGTACCTATTACTTCTCACATTCTGTATCGTCAGTTACAGATGAAATTGTTCATTAAATGTATTAACAATCTCATAACTATACCGTGGACCTTCATCGAAATGAAAAACTTGAATTCCTTTACAAACTTGCAAAGAGCACAGAAAAATAAAAATATACGATAGAAGATGGTTTTCCCTAACAAACATAAAAAGCACTATACTTTAAAAATTTGGCGCTTTAGAATTAAAATATTCCAGTTCCTAGATAGCAGATTTCATACGAATCTAATTACAATTACAGAACTTTTCCTATCTAGTAACTGAATAATTTTGTTTGATTATCAGTTTCGCTATGAAAACACTTGTGTGTTTAAACGAAGGTGCAATTTATATAATAATGGCGAAGCAGACGTTCACTTTGGATAATAGATCCTGTAAAATTTCACGGGATCCATAGAAACGGATTAACACCAGTGGAAAACTGAAATTTCTCCAATGTAAATGCAAAAAAATCCGTAGTGTACTCATAACTATAGACGTTTATTTTAAACGATGACAATTTCTATATATTTTTCGTTGTCAACACAAACTTCGTTTTTTTTTCAATATCTTTTCTTTTTTTTCGCGTTTATTCAAAACAACGCATACACGCACGCTACACCCATACATATTTACGCACATCCATGAAGTTTCCATCAATATTAACCTACACGTCTATATAACCTAAAACTGAAAAGTTCCGTGTTCAGCTCCCTGATCGTGAGTACTTCGTCAATTCTAGGTACCTAGAGAAGCCGAAGCCGACTTGGCTGGAAACAACTAACGAAAAGCCGTGGCAGAAGCCGACCGCCCGTCCGCCATATTACCCGGACAAGAACGACGAGAACCAAGCGCAAAAATGGCCGCCGGAGCGGCCGTCTTGGAACAAGTACACCGATCGGCCGAACAGCGACATAATCACCGACAATCGTCCAGCGAACTTTCCCAACAATTGGAACAGGCCGCCGCCGACCAAGCCCAGCTACCAGTTCCTAGATCGTTACCCCGACAAGAATCAAGCGGAAGAGAGCAACGACTGGCACGATTACCCGAATCGCTACGACGACCGTCCTAGACCGACCACCGACCGACCTGGCTTCTCCCATTACGACTACGTGAACAATCATCCGCAAAGCTATCCTGGAAATGGCGACGGTCAATGGGTCCTATTATCCACTAACAGAGGTTACTCGAAGTCCAGGCAAAGATCAATCAAGATCGACTCGCCACCCACTGCAAACGTGACTATGGTCGCCGGAGTGAAAAAGGAGGATCACGATCCTGCTATTGCAGTGATGACTTCCAAGAGACAGGTTAGGCTAGATCTTGAAGATTTCTTCTTTTTACGAGTGACAGTTAGAACGTTCGTAATCGAAATTAGTCTCCAGTTTATGAATTTTCATTTGTTAACGTATCGTGTGTAGGCAGTTGAACTGTTTGTTGAAAATTGGTAATCGATGAAGACAATTAGTAGACCGCTTTTTCGCATGAGATTAATTGTTGTAGCTATTAGTAGATGTCCAGTGGATGGTTAATTGATAAGTTCAATTAGAGTTCTGTTAGATTGTAGATCATTTGAGTTTATAAAGGATTTGGGAAACGAAAGTTTGTAGGAGTCAGTGAAGGTTTATTGTTTTACTTTTGAGGGATTTTCTATGCGGAACGGTAACTTTTCTTTGAGCCTGCTTTTCGTGAAATGAGGTAGACACGTTAAATTGAATATTGAGGTAGATTAATGTAATAATTGGTTGAACGATGGATAACATTTCGTGGAATCTGACCGGCGACCCAGAAACGTTGTCGTCGGGACACTTGTTCAGCGACCCGATCGATCCGCTCTGCTCGAGCATGTTACTGGCAGTCGCTTGATGAAATATCGTTTACCTAGGTCAGGCTGACGGTGTTACCGTCAATCAACGGTACGAACACTACTACGTCGCACGGAGGTCTGCTGGAGGTGGAGAAGACGTTCAAGAGCGTAGATCAAAGTCGGAGGGAGTACGAATTGGAGCAACAGTCGCTGCTGCCCGCCATTTTGAAGAAGAGACCAATCAGGAACACGCTCGGCAGCCAGCCGTCTAACTCCGCCGTTTTGGCGGCCGTCGGCGCAGGTGCATCACAATTTATTTATTCTGTATTTATTTAACCAATTAACTGCGATTTTCTCCACGATAAATTATTTATTTCTACAGATAAACGTGTAATTTTCTTCGTTTTGCTTTTATTGTTCGTTAGAATACATTAATAGATGCACTTCTTCTGCGTTTGACGAGTATACGCTTTATTATTTGATTTTATTGCGTGCAGAATGAAAGATTTTTCAAACTAAATTTCACAGTTAATCGGTTAAAAGGAGACTTATGAGAGCTTTATGAATTCTTAATTGAATCAAAAATAAATTTTTAATAGAGCAAAGACAAACTTTTAGTTCAGTCGTACGATGTTCCAATTTTAGTAGCAAGTAAACAAAAATTGATAAAACTCACCGCTAGGCCTTTTGGTAAAAATCTAGAGAAATAAAGTGAAAATTAAAGAAAGATGAATTTAACCGGATGAAAAATGGAAGATGGAAAACTAAGTAGATAAAGTACTTTTTATGCCTCGATCTTTTGTTGAGTCATTAAGTTTTTATGTTCATTCCTATATTTATGTATTCAATATTTATTCTTTGTCTTGAGAACAATGTGTTAATTAAAGATGTTAATCCTTTTCCCCGCAGGAATATTACCAGCAACAATGGCGATGATGATACCAATGATACTTGGCCGTCGGAGGAGGGACGTAACACCTTCTGACCCGGGTCTGTTCGCCGCGGGTCGTGACTCAGTCATAAATATTCGCGTTCCTACGAATAAACGAGCCCACGGAACGAGGCTGAGATAGGGAATGCGAATTAACGAGGAAGGAGAAAGTCTTTGATAATAGAAGAGGAGATTAGAAAATGAACGATCTCAGTGTTTCAGCGATGATTACGAAGCCCATAATAGAATCTATCGCTATCAATTAATTCTACCTGAGAAATGGGACATCGGTAGGCACGCTTAAAATCCGGCTTTCAATTAGCGAAATTTGCATTGCCGATTAGAACATGAATCTCTGATTGAACGGGACAGTTCTCTTGAAAGCGAGAAGATTTTCGAGGAGAGACTGGTCCCGTTTGAAGATCATTGATCCGAACTTTAAAAGTGAAACTATCTTGACGGAAAAGAAATCACTTTGGATTTCATCAGTCGATTCATCGTCTCGAGGATGGTCACTCATTAATCTTAAAAAATTCACGATCAACTTTATACAAATATTCTACTATAGGAACCGGGAGGAAATCCATTATTTCTAGTCTCTACAGAAAACTTTACCGATTCTTGTGAATTTTTAAACATTAATTCAAAATATAATTCCCTTCTTCTCTTACCACATTTCTCCGTGTAACGATTAATTTTTCAAAATTTTAGATTAATATTAAAGTATTTGTACAGAGTTGTAAAGCTTTCGGTTGAGACTAGAAATGGATTTCATTCCGGTCGCTCTAATATCACACAGTGTCAAAATACATAGGTTAACGTTTAAGAAACGAACGCGTCGTTTACAGATATTTTCTTTAACGAGAAGCGGAGGCGTGACACAGAAACGTCGTTCCTCATTCCCGGATAGATTTAAGTTAACGTTTGTTACTCGTCACGACTCGTTAATGTTAATACTTGATTATTTATTTAGCGAATTGCTGGAGGAGATGGGAACGAATGTATAAATAACTTCTTCTTTATAACATATCTAGGGATACGTGTATCTTACCGGGTATCATGTAGAAGCACACCATATTTATTTATTTATTTAATATATTTATTTATAACATACTTTACAATGTCTCGTCGTATATTTCGTCGTTCGCTTAAATACTTAATAAAAAAAAGAAGGTATGAGTACCAGAACAAAGAAATCAATTGTCGGTGGCGGACAAATCCCGCGTCGTAATAAAATAGAACTTTTCGCCAGAAGTTTTTCAAAAACCCCATCCGGGCGACCATTGTCTCGAAAAAGCTTGCGTAGAATGCAACCCGACGCGTCCGACGCAAAATAGATCGTGTCGGTGTCGCATTCCATGCGAGAAATCCTATTCCCTAATATCCGTTTTAAAGCTACTCGTTTTCATTCTCGTCAAGGAACGTTCGTTTTCTATTCGATGATTCTGTATTAACCCTTTGCGGTCGAACGCCGCCGTAATGACGACTTCGAGCTTATATACCTGTAATCGAAAGCTGTAAATAAATAATGTCATTACTCGAATAACGAGGGATTAGTTTTGTGATTAGGATTAAGGCGTCGCATAGATTGATATGCGATTTTCTTCTTTTCTAGTATGTAAGAACTCGATGAATTTTCAGTTTTTCTGTGGAAAGAATTTCTAGAAGTTTCAAAAATGCTCGTCCGCAGAGGGTTAACTTTGAATTCTTCTTAATTTGGAAAGGAGGAATTTCTGTCGAAAAAATTGTGAATTTTCTTTAGCTTTTTCTATAACAGAACGATGAAAACTGACTTCCCTGACGATCGCAAAATGGACAGACGCCATCCTGTACAGGTTGAACCACCTGACACGAAGAAGGAAAGTATTTTTTATTTTTTGCGATACAATCAATGAAAAGAAAGTATAATAAATAAAATGAAATGCATTCGTCCTTTTAAATTGAAAGGTTACGCCATCTTGATGGAGACTCAAAGTGAAATGCATTCTAAACACTTTTAGTTTTCAGGAAGAATTCTTAATAAATCGCTGCGCCTCCAAATTCAATTTTCAGAGCAATAAACAATTGTTCAAGCATCTTCAACATAAAAGAAGTCTTTTTCTCTGGTGTCAAACAATTCGCCCTGCGCGTAAATGCAGTTCACAGCTGCAGAAACTCATCGAAAACACTTTCCTCGAGCGAAATGAGCTCCTCGAAATCTCTAATCGAGGGTTGCTCGTTCGCGAATCAAATCAAAACACGCTGGAAGACAGAATTCACATTGCGAAAGCAGTCAGCGCGACATACTGCCTCGGTACTATTTTAATCATTACTCGCAGTGTCCAAGAAAATTTTGGGACCTCCAGACATAGGTCGATAGAACAGTTTTCGGAATGATGTCTGTCCGTGGTCATAAAAGAAAGTGAAATCAAATCTATCACTACAGACAATAAATCACTATTCCTAATCCTGCATTAATAGACTCAATTCCTTTTAACACTAGAACTGCCAAGTAACTACATCGATTTATATACAATTTTCTTTAATAATCGAAAGAGTATATTTTTTGAGTTTCCAAGTAACTCTTACTATTGCATCCGCAGAAACGAATTTTCCTTGCAATTTCTCGCAAAAGCATCTTCGTAATTCGAATAATTATCAAATGAAAATCCTGAAACAGTTCATTTTAACCCGTCCGATAGTTCTAGTGTTAAAGCGCGGCCAGCGAGAACCTTTACAAGTTCATGATTCGATCAACCCAGAAGAGACACTTCACTCCTCGCCGTTGATTCTCTTCTGCACGTGTCCCAGGTATCTAGCGAAGCCCTCGCTCGCGTGCTTCAGCAGTGTTAATCCCAGTCTCAGTTTAATCTCCGCAATCTTCTTCACGAAGCTGAAAAGTCCAAAGCCCTCTTGTTCCTCAGGCTTCTTCGTGGTCGAGTTCATCCACTCCGCGTCGCTCTCCTCGGTCGTCTTCGAGCTCTCGGTCGAACTACTCTCGAAAGTGACCCCCGAAGAACTTGAAGAAGATGTTGAAGAGGATGCTAAAGAGCCATCTGCCTCCTTTAACGTCGTTGACGAGACGGTTTCCTGAGTCGATGATTCGACACTGGACTTCTCAGACGTTTCGACAGTCGTACTCTTCGTAATGGACTCCTTCTTCTCCTCTTCCTCCTCCTTCCTCCTCTTCTTGGCCTCTAACTCCTCCGAAATCTCGCTCTCCTTCCTCCTCGTCTTCACGTTGTCCTCGCCAGGTATCGCTGAATCGATAATATTCAAAATTTCGTTGCTAAGATCCTCTTCCTTGCCTTCCTCCTCTAGCTCCCTCTTTGAGGGTATGATCTGTATCACCGAGTCCCTCTTCACCCTCGAACGAAGACCTTTGAGGAAGACAGACCCCAATGGGTTGTCCACGGACCTTTTCGTCTTCAGAGACCTAGGGCCATGTTCAACAGCTACTGCAGTCGGAGTAATCTCCACCTCTTCGTAGCCCTCTTCAGGCCTAGCTGTCTGCACCTGTCCATGATTCTGATTAGGGAAATTGAAGTTCTGATTGATATCAGGCTTGAAATTCACGTGGTCGCTCTCGGTAGGCTCATAGCTACTTGGCAGCTTGCCTGTGGTAGCTTCAGATAAAATCTTCTCTTCGTAGGGGTACTCTTTGGGAACGTTTCCAACGACGAACTGCCTGTTAGCCGAAGAGGACTGACCCACGACGTATTCCGTGTGTTTAGGCCTGTTATCATAGTAATTTGGAGTACTCGATACGTCAGGGTACCTAAAATCAGTGTTCCTGTACTTCAAAACAGAAGCGGTGTTCTCTGGCCTGTAGATAGGGGACGAAGAGTACCTCTGGTCGTACTTCTTCGTCGTTTGCGAATCATAACCCCCGTCGAAGTGCTGGTACTGGTAGTAATTGTCGTAATCCTTCACCCCAGGGTACTTGTTGTCCTCGTTGGTCATACCTTGGAAAACCTTGGACAGAACCTCCTCCTCGCTTTGGCCATAGTTGCCGCCGTACTCGTCCAAGTTGTACTTATACTTAGGCTCCACCTCGTAGTTCCTCCTGGCAATGGTTCCACCGAAGGGATACAGGAAATAGGACGCCAAGCCTAGACCGAGTCCCACCAGGGACATCACTCCGAAACTGGGCATCACTTCTCGACTCAAGAAATTGTATATCTGCGTGCTGATCGGTTTCTGAATTGGTTTCTTCTTGGTCTTCGTCGCATTAGTGGAGACTTTAGTGTCAGATGCAATCTTGGACTCTTGGATCCCATTCTCAGCGACTGGATTCACCGTGGTTAGGTCTGTTTCCATCGTACTGGACGCTAAAGGAGTGACCATAGTGGTGGTGGTCGTCGTGGATGGTTTTCTTCTACGGCTCTTGTTCTTCTTCCTCTTGGAACTATGCCTGGACCTCTTCGTGGTCGAAGAGGGCCGGGTTGTCGAAGTGGGCGTCTCTGAATCCACGTTGATTTTCGTCAACTCTGGATTGAAGTCGAACTTCAGGTCTATCCTGGAATTATTCAAAGTATCCTTCTCTGAATCCTCTTTGGTCTCGTCCTTTGACTCGTCTTTCTCCACCTTTTCTATCTTCAAGACAGGTGTGTTCACTTTGATAGGCTCTATCTCGATCTTGGTGTCCTCCACAGGCTTCTTCAGCTGAACTTTCAACACGTTACTCTTGGTGCCAACGGTTTTCATCTTGGTCGAGGTTTCAACGAGTTCACTGGTACTCGACACTGTCCTCAAGGTGGTCGTTAAATCCTGATTGCCGGTAGAAAATACAGTAGGTAGCGTGGTGGTCTTCTGCGTGTCCATCAGGATCGACGCCTTGATCTTCGTCACGAACATCGGCTTCTCGGTGCTCTCCGGCTTGCTCTTCGACACGGTGATCATTTGGACAGGCCTAAAAGTCACTTTCTCGATCTTAGCCGACGAGGCGTTCTCATTCTTAACAATATCCGGCTTCACTGTAGTGGTTCTTCTCAATTGCGGCTTCGGTCTGTTTTGCTGGTTAGGCCTGGAGGTCTTCAAGATCGACGGTTTCGACAATACGGTCGTCTTCAGAACAGCTACCTTAGGTTTTGGCGTCGTCCTGATAGTCTGAATCTTCTTAGTGCTAACCACAGGAGACTCTTTATTCTCCAGGTTACCGCTAACAGTAACATTCTGAAGTGGCTTCAGAGTGATTTGGCTGGACTCGGTAGTCCTCTCTAGCTTCTGGTCAGGCTTCTTCGTGGTCGGCACAGGTTTCCTGGTGCTAGAAGCCTCTTCCAAGGACACCGAAGTTGAAACTGGCAGTGTAACCTTCTCCATCACTCTTTCCGTTGTGTCTATCCTCTCCATGATGGTCGTTGGCTTCGATGTCGCCTTGACTTCGTTCTCGATGGGAAGCTTCGTCTTTTTCTCCCCTTCGATCGTCTTTATAGTGGTTGACGGAGGATTTAGTAGGACCCAAGTGGAGATGCCGCCAGTGGTCGTAGGATGATTCTTGTACGCAGTCATCAAACGCGTTGAACTTAACTCTTTTTCCAGCTCTTCCTCTGTGATCGCCATCGCCTGGCCTGGGTGGCTAGTCTCAAAGAAGCCGAACTTCGAGTTCACCGGCCTACCGAAGCCCACGTTCACCGACTGCGGGCCGCTGCTCACCGTGATCTCCTTCGTCGGGATCTCGTTCCTCTCCGACAGCTTTTGCACGCCTGACTTCTTCGCTGCGTTCCCGTTGGGTTTGCCATCTTCGGAGCTAGTCACGTTCAACAGCTGCGTGGCCACTGTCCTCAGCGACTGGTCCATGTACTGCAGGTCTTTCAGCTGACGTTGCGTGTCATTTTGCAGCGCGCTGAAACGAAATTCGGCGATTCAGTCTTTCTGTTGGTATCTATGATTCAAGAGACAACTGGATTTCGATAGTCTGGTAACTGGGCCCGTTGGATCAAATTGAATTTCGAGCACGAAAACTTTGAATATCTGGAAAATTTGATTATTTCAGACTCGCGACAGACTGCGTAAGTTGTTCCTTACCTTTTTTCTGTTCGTCTGTGTGTCAGAAAGGCTCTATTCTAATTTGTTTAAGGAACTTTCAATGGTGATTTCTTTTGTACTTGAATCTTTGCTTTCTGATGCATGGTTGGCAACGTTTTGATGATTGAAGGATATTTTGTTGAGGACGATGTTAGGGGACACATGGGTACTAAGAATAGTTAGTGAACTATATGACTGAATGCTAATTTCTACTTTCATGGTGATGTAAAGAAAGAATACAAATTTCTTCGTTGGAATGTTTTATTTCGATTACAATTCACTGGCACAAACGCTATCAATGCCCTAGAATGACATAAGATTAAGTTAAGTATGAATTGGAACAATCCAAGTAATGCACTAATTACCGTATCGTTACAATGTGAATTCGTTCGGGTTCAATAATACTGTTCCTGTTGGATCTAGTCTACACTCTGCTTAACATTTCCTTACAATCGTTAATTGGTACAGGTTTAAAGCTACGTCCAGCGAGGTTAAGGTTTATTCTCTGAAATTCCATCCCTTACCATGTTCAAGAACAATCTTGGCTAGAAATAAATAATCACTAAAAATAATATTCTTGCAATATTTTTATAAGTAACATCTGAATAAATAAATAAATAGAAAAATAAATGAATAAATAAATAACTTATTTTGATGCACAGCAGTGCTGTCCAAAGCTCGTGGCTTTTCCTCCCATTCCGCCTTAGTTAATTCTACCTCCCTTCCTCTTATTAATACTACAAACGTCCGACACTGATTTCTTTATACACACGTGAATTTTTCTAACGATCCGTAGTCTATTTACAGAAATCACAAGAACACGATTATTAAGATTTTTATAATATCCTACTCACGAACAAGTAAACCAATTTAAAACCTTGCCCTACAATATCGTGTCAGACTCGTGGTGAAGATTTGAAATAAAATTTAATAAACACAGATATTATTCAGTTTGTTTGAATGCGAGTTACATATTATTCCTCTGTTATCAATAGTTATACCTTAGAGCTCTCATGTTGACATAGAACAAGCCTGGAATTTTCTCTTATTTTCAATAAATTATTAATAACGAAGTAGTTGGATCGATCAGAATCTAAAAAGAAATTATAGGACAGGGGGTTAATAATTATCCAGCGAAGACACCTTTACGATTTCAAGTATCCCGAAACGATGCATCTAAAATAGATCCGTTCGACTTGTCCAACGTTAATTAACGAACATGCCAAAGCACATGCGAGGAATCTACAACTAAAATATGGCCTGTAAAAGAGGAAACACGAGCCCCGTACATGGACAACACTAACAGAAATCCAGCTTCTTTGACCCTACTCTAAGAACACGACACAACGCTACGAACCTTCTAAACCCTCTAAACGAACCATCCAATAAAACTCGATGACTATCTACTGAGGCAACCTGTCAAGAGCCTTCTCGTCCTCCATCGGGGGCCTTCTGACAACAACTTTGGCAAGAACTGCCAGACAAAATCCCTTAAAATCTCCACTTGTCCGAATCAAAAATCAAGAAACGAGAACCTAACCACGGATCCGCACCCTCATCTCTTCCTCTTCCTCTTCCTCTTCTTCTTCCTGCTCTTCCACTCGTTCAGCCTACCGTACTTCTCCAAAGATTGACTGACAATCTCCTCGACACTCGACCAAAAGCCGATCGCGTCGTTGTTGGCTCTGCTGAAGCCGAACGAGCTAGGGAACAACCAAGGGAATAGAAACGTGACAGTGCCGAGTATCCCAGCAGCTAAAGCAGTGAAGGGAGCAGCGGCGATGCTGAAGAAACCATAATGCAAAGGATTGATGAACGTAAAGTAGGCGAACACGGAAGCGATCGACTCGACGATGCCGCTAGGAGACAGATCGTATTCGTCATCGTCGTCGTCGTCATTAGCCACAGCCGCGGGAGCAGGGCTAGCAACTAGCTCGGAAGAAGGAGACCCCAAAGAAGGGACAAAAGCTTCGTCGCTAACCACATCAGCGTCCGGTCGAACCACGGAATTCACGTTGGGATCGTTGTCAGCTTGATTGACTCCTTCCACAGCCGGAGCATCATTAGCAGAACTTGGAGCATCGGAAAACTCGTTGATCTCCGAAGTTCCGTCATTACCAGACCCCGAGATACTGATATGAGTACCCTGAAAAACTTGAACGTTCGAGTCTACATTGTCCTGAGATCCACTAGCCACTGGATCTTTCAAGGGACCATAGAAATTGTCCTCAATGTTCGAATGATAACTAAGATCAGAACCGTACTTGTCCGTCTCTTGATCAATCCCGGGATTAGTCTGATACGAAGGTGAAGGAGTCGACTTGAACGTGTTCGTGTTAAAGACGTGGGAATTGATGATGATGTTCAGATCAGTGCAACCCTCTTTGCTCTGAATAGTGTTGTTGATCCTGGTGTAGGAGTTTATTAGGATGGTGGGACATCTTTGATCGTAGGTTACTAAAGGAGGTCGGAGTTCCTCCTGATTGGGCAGCTTGTTCTTGTCTTCGGAAGAAGTGAAGCCTATGTGAACGTTGGGGCCTGGTTTCTGGGTAGTCGAAGAAGCTAACTGGGGTAAAGTAATGAGTGAAGGTTGACTTTCAGCATCTAGAGACCCGGAGGACACTGAAGAGCTCGGATTAACTGGTCTGCCACTGTTCCCAGGTCCCTTAGTCCAATTAGGCTTCTTCGAGTCGCTGTTCAACTGAACAGCATTTTCATCTTGCAGAGTCTGAGGACTACTAGTCTTGTTCTTCGAGGACATGTTAGGTAAAGCAGGTTTCACAGTCGTGTACTTGGAATTTAGAGGATAAATGAAACCAGGCTTCAAGCTTTCAGGCCTCAACGGTCTGTTCGGCTCCAGGTTCTGGTACACTGGGTCGAATACAGCGCTCATCGGATCATTAGCCTCATTGCTTTCCAAGACGTTGCTGCCATTGGCCATGAAGGCCGGGATCTTCAACCAGTGCACGATCTCCTGGAGATTGGGGCTGGAAATGGGCAACAGGTGATCGGTACCGTTGTCCCCTAAGTGGACCGGCTTCTTCACTACCTGGTCCGGATTCAAATCCTCTATGAACGAAGTGTACTTCTCGTAATTTTGATAATCATTCTGGGTTTGCATCTCTCCGTTCGGCCAATTTTTCCAGTACTGGGACTGGGTGTCATTGCTTTTCTCTCGGATCTTCGAGATCTTCGTGTTCAACTTGTTCTGATCTATCTTGCTCTGGTTCGAAGGATGACGGTGCTTCACTCTGTTCGAATTTTTCGTGTTCGGATGACGGGTGCTAGTGGTTCGGACCGGCGGAGACTGAGGGACTCTATCGAACGGAACCCTGTCTTTCGAATGTAATCCAGCAGCGTTTTGTCGAGTCAACATGTCGGTGATCTTCTTGATTGCTGCCACGTGATCAAACTCCCTCGAGGCCTCGACCTTCGCGCCGGGACCAGAGGAAACTTCCGAGAATTTCGAATCGCCGGCCAAGGACGGACCTTTACGTGAATTATTCAAGCCGATCTCTGGCCTTCTGCGCGACACATTGTTGTTGGAACCTTTCGAACCAATGAAATACGAAACCCTAGAACTCGAGGACCGATCTGACTCGTACCTGAACCTGTATGTTTGATCGGATTTCCCTAAAGAAGTGAAATTGCGGAGGCTAGAGCCTTTGGACTTGTGAGTAAAGTTTCTCAACCTCGGCGGATGGTTTTGATTTCCTTCGGGGAATATTTTCAACATACGATGGTTAGATCTAACTGGTTTCTCGAAGTTAATAGCGGCGCTGAAAGTAGAATTTTTGGGGATTTTCAAGTCTCTGAGAGACGTCGCTGGATTTTGAGATCGGACTCCGTTGAAACTGATCGGAGACTTCGGTCTCGATTCGTCCGCACTTACCTCGGCGACGAAAGGATCGAAACGATCGTAATAGGGATTAGCGTATGGAATTCTACTATTTCCGGAATTCCGCGTGTACCTGGTGTCTTGAACGTGCGCTGGCGTGCCGGCGGATTGGACGGGTCTCTTTTCGTCTGGTTTCAGTGCCTCCGGTTGCGAGGACTCTCCTGAAACATCGAGGAAAATGAATTTTCAAATTGTTTTAAAAGCTAGTTTTTAATTAATTCTCGATGAATTTTCGAATCGTTTTTAAAGTTATTTGGGAACTGCAAGCAGACTACGAATCTTTATTCGTATATTCTCCAGCTATGTTAACCCTCTACAAGCCGAATTTTCTTTCGTGACCATAAAAAGATGTGTGCAGTATAAAATTAACAAATATCCTGTAAATGCAAATTAACAATGTATTCAATAGTTTCAATAATTGCAGTAAAACGTGTATCTATTCTCATTATTTTGGAATTACAATGACGTTGAACTTTCACTCCAGGGCGTATAAAAGTTTTAGTTGACTAATTACTGAATTTCACTCGTCACTTTGCCATGGAAAATGAAATAAATCAACGAGATGCCAATATATTGGTATGTGATTTCAAACTCACACAAGCTTAAAGATGGTTAATTATTTCTCGATTACTAACCACTCCCAGTTACTGATAAAGAATCAGTCAATTAATTTCTTTACATTTTCTTAGAATTATTCTGTTCAGTCAAGAACAATATGGAAAACCGACGAAATCGTCGCGGACTTAATGGTACAGATTCGACGATACGGACATTATAAGTGAACGTTGTCGAAGATGAGTGCGCAGGGACGCGAACGATCGACAATTGATGCGGAACATTACGGGGGAGTACGATTCGCGATGAAAAATGGAAAGTCTCGCGTTGTTACGAAATTCGATTTTATAATGTTGAAGAAATGCGAATGTGGAATTGAAGCGGGTGCATCGAGCGCGGCGGTCGCTCGCTTAGAACGCGTCCGTGACAGAGTGCACGAATTAAGAGTTCGGTTAATGTGCAATCTGCGCGCGACTCGATTCGTGTAATCACGTGTTCCGTGTCGTGCTTTCCTGCGTACACGCCTGTCGACGTGATGACGCCAAGGGAATACTGTATCGATAGAGTTTAGGTTCGAAATGTGAATTAAAGAGTTTGACGAATGTTGCGTGGAGACTGAAGGGATGTCCTTAGATTTTTACACTGAAGGGATGCAAGAATTTGATAACTTTAGAATTTGAGAAGTCGGGGGATTTGAACTTGAGGCATTAGTGGCTTTGGGGCTTGATACTTTAGAATTTCGAGAAATTCAGATCCTAGGAACTTGGGATTTAATATTCCAGAGCTCCCAGAACTTGAGACCTTAAAAAATTTGGGATTTGATATTCTAGAGCTTTCGAAACTTGGAACCTTTATAGCTTCAAGACTTGATATTCTAGAGCTTCCAAAACTCGAAACCTTAAAAGCTTTAGGACTTGATATTTCAAAACTTTCAGAGCTTGAGACCTTAAAAAATTTGGGATTTGATATTCTAGAGCTTTTGAAACTTGAAACCTTAAAAACTTTAGGACTTGATATTCCAGAGCTTTCAGAACTTGAGACCTTAAAATCTTGAGTATTCGAAGAAGTTCGTAGATCAAAAGTTGACTGACTTAAAAACTCTACTTTAAAACCCATCGGAACTCAAGAGCTTAAATACTTTGTTAAAATCAATAGTCTGGAAATTCGAAAACCGAGAAGATCAGATATCTCAAGAATTTTTTAATTCAGATACTTAAGAAAATAGTTGGAAGACTAATCACGTGCTATAATCTTTCTCTTTGAACCTGTATCCCTTCCGTCTCGCTTTCGACAGGAAGTCATTCCAGTCAAATAAAACTCATTGTCGTAAATTGCACAGCACTCCGATTGATTAGAGGCTGACGCCCGTCTTCGGGCGAGGACTTTCGCGGAAATCTGCAGCGTTTCGCATCGAACGATCCGCGATTGAACGAATACAGCCCCTCCTCGCGAACCGCCTTCTTCCTTTTCGCGATTGGCAACCGCTTCCTCGATGGCACTTCCCTTGGAGAGCTCGTTTTCTCGAAGATCGGGTTCCCCGTAGGCGTTTCTTTCCTTTTCCCCGTAACCAGGGAGCCACGTTTCACGGGCACCCGTGGGAAATCGCGAGAAACTTACCGGTCTTCTGCGGCCTGGCCTGCCCTGAACCGCACAGCACCAGGATCACCACGATCTTCAGCAATTTCGACCGCATCTTTGCACTGCAACAGACAAATCAGGGAACGGTTGAAGTATCTTCATGTTCGAATAACGTGTTATTAGAGGGAACGATCCTTCGAACGCTTAACCCCTTAACGCACAGTTCTTTTTTTAAAAAAAGCCGGCCAAAAAAATCAATTTTAATATACTGCTCTTTTGTTCCATGGAAAAAGGCTATATTTTATTCTTGAATAAATAAGTGTTATAGCTTACAATTCCATATAAATGATAAATATCAATAAAACGATTTTTTTTCTTTGCTTTCACATTGTTATTTTCACAGTTTGGCCTGTTTAGCGCGCTAGAATTAACTCGAGCGTGCAAGTTAAGGGGTTAACTGCATCGTTAACTAATCGACTTGTTTTGTCTTTGCCTTGTCTCGATCTGTTAAGAGGGAAAGGAACTTTACTCTGAACATCGAATATTAATAGCGTTTCGGTAAATTGAATATGAATTGTATTTTCAATTGAAATCTCATTGATTTCTGTTACATTGAATTTATATCGAATTTTCAATTTGAACTTCGTTAACGTTCATTCGATAATTTCGTCGCGAATCCCACTCGATATTTTTCATTTTATTTTTATATAGATCAACTGTCGTATAGTACTTTAATACGTTTAGTAATTAATTAAGTGTGTAGGTATTAGAAACAGAGTATCCAAAGCGAAGGGAACGTGGAAGATAAAAGAAAATTCAATAGTTGACAATGAAGATCCGAAAAAAATCTTCCGTGCTAAATTGCGGAAGAAATGACGCAGGTGGTGCAGTCGCGGGGCGAATTCTTTATGGTCGATTTGCGTGCAAAGGCCTCGATTGAGGCGATCGTTCGTATTCAATTCTCATGTGTCGATCGGTCGCGAGGCGACACGGGTCGCATGGGAATGAGAAAATTTGCCGCCGTTCTCGGTAAAGCATCGAACGGTTCGAGACGTCCAGGAAGACGACATTAAATTGAGCCTTCGATTTATTGCAATGTATCCTTTATAGACTATCAAATTCTTCCTTCGTCACATCTATATGAAAATATTCCTTCCGCGCGGGTCATTTTTCTCTTGGTCTTCGTTAGGCCCCAAGGTTTCTTGTTCTCCCATCTTGTGAACAGTTCAACACGAATTTCTACTGCTAATACTTTTTAGAAGTAACAAACTATTCTGTCAGAATCGAAAGTTTTTCAACTACTATGTATAATTCGTAAAAAATTTCGGTTACATAAAAGTTTCGATTTTTTTCTTGTAAAATGAGAAATTTGAAATCATTCTCACAGGCTTGGTTGCTTAAGTATTCAGTTGTTTTGGTATAACACGTTGACCATTGGCAATTTGTTTCGTTTACAGCCTTCAAGTATCAAGGTTTTAACTATGTAGGTTTCAACTGTGAAATCGTCAACTATAAAAGTTTCAGTATCAGAAGATTCAACTATAAAAGCTTCAGCTACAAAAATTTCAACTATAAAAATTTCAACTATGAAAGTTTCAACCATAAAAGGTCCAACGATCAACGATTCAACATCGAAACCTTCGAGTTCCAAAAATCCCATCATCATGGCGTAGCACGCGCTCTCCAAGGTCAACGGTATGACCTTGACCGTGTGCCGAGATTGGGAATCGAATGGAGCAAAACGAGAAACAGGACATTCTCGTTTTAACGGCCGTCCGCCCACGTGCAAGCGTTACCTATTCAGACTGGCTCTGCGGCTGAACGACTGTGTCGTAAAAGTGTCTTTTTCTCGTCCGCCCGTTTCCTCTCTTTCTTTCCCCTCTTGTTTATTTATCTTGTTTCTTTCAAAGTACTTTTTATCGTTGAATATTTGTGTCCGATAACGGTACCGGGTATATCGGTTTGCGCCAGTCCCGCACGTTTGCATACGGCCGCGATGTCTCCGCGGGGTCGGGCAGCGTGTCAGAGGAACATTGTAGTTGATTTGCGTACAAGGTGTAACAGAACGTTACAGTAGTTCTCTCTTTTCATTCGAAATCAAATATTATCTTTCTCCTTGAAAAGACATTTAATTCATTTAATCCTTCTACTATACAAACTCACAACGAACTCTTAGGGTGGAACTACTACTGACTCATAGTCGAATAACGTGAAATAGAAATCATTTCCATTCTGTAAACAATTCTCAAGAAATAATTTATAATCATCTGGTATTATCATATTTCAAAGTCCTCATTACTATACGCGAAAAACACTGTGCATACGGCTGAATAAAATAATAATATAACAATGTAATCAGAAATGAAGCTCGGCAGTTCTAAAGTTAAGAGCAACTTCAATTCTTCGAAGAACAATGTCGTGTTCATATCTGTTATATAAAATTTTAATACAAAATTGCACACATAATTTATTCAGATGGCCAAAGATCAGTGCATAGTGTCTTCTTTTTGTAGGACTTCAAAGTTCGATGTGTAATTTGCCTTCTTGTTCTATTGAAGAATTTGAATACTTCAAAGAATCGTCAGCCTAAATGTTCAAAAAGAATAATTACGAAACAAATCATAATGAAAAAACGTTAAATGGGACACGTGTCCTTACGAGCTGTCGTTATTGATTCTGTTTCCTTTGTCGACTGCTCGAGTGCTACATGTTCTGTTACACCCTGTATTGCACGGGCCCGATGCGTCTCGGCGGCGCGTATCGTTCCCAAGTGGTGTACCGTTAGAGCGTTTAATATGTGTCGCAAACGACGCGCGTCGTTTGAACGATCGGCACCGACGAACAACGCGCGCGCCTTTCGTCACGGTGCTTCCTACCGCGGCGGACCGTTCGCGGGCGAATTCCGCAGCTTTATCGTGGCCCTCGGTCCGTTGGCTTTCGGGGTCGCCGCGTTTTCGAGATTCCTGAATCCTATGCGACCGCCGACGACCACTTTTTGGAGCGGAGCGGGGGCTGCGGCGAGGACAAAGGAGAAGGCGTTCATTGGGGAATCGGGGATGAATCGTTGGGTAACTGGAAATACGGGGAAATATGAGTGGCTCCGAGTAATAGCGGTCTATAACACCTGTTTCTAAGATCTCGAGGAAAAGAGTTTTTGTCGAATGTTCTTGGATTGATTGAATACTAATATTGCAACTAGTAATACCGATCTTTAGAGATTATTAATATTATTGTGTAATTTAATAGTAATATAACATAATGTAATCTAATACTAAAGAAGAAAATATAATAGTAATACATAGTAACATTGTATTATCGCGAACCAAGAACCAAAGGAATGAGACAAATTTTAGAAGAAATCGTATCAGTCAACGAGGAACAAGGTTAGTTTCAATTAAAAATTAAGAAATCGAAAAATTGAAAGATGATAATGGAATGATAAGTTCCTATAGAAGACGAGAATTGTAACAAAGAGTACAGGGAACGACAGACGAGGAAGAAAGTGACTTTACTGGATTCATTTCAGTATACAGAAAAGAAAAGTGGTAACAACTGATGATACAAAAAGGCGCTTCAGCATAGCTGACAAATAGCATTCACAAAAATCGATTAAAGGAACAAAGGAACGGTACCAAAGATGCAAGAAACAAGCGAGAAATCTGGAGTACAGTAAAAACGAAGAATTTCCGCATAATTAAACGTTCTTTAACACACCATCGATCAGCCGATCCGATACTCAGTTAATAACTTTCTACTAGACTTTAATCTTCCCCCTCGAAACATCTAACGGGCGAACTTTCATCGAGGAGGAAAAAAAGCAGTCCCAAAAAGACAACCGTGAGATCTTATCGCGCGTTCAATGATCGAGGAAAACGCGTTCACGACGCGCTGGAACGCAATCGATTTACACAAGACCAGCCAAGCATCACAAATTTCCTCAACCACCCCCGTTCCTCAAGCTCCACCTTCTCAATCCTGCAAAATCCGTGCATCAATCTCCCAAACATCAACGGAACACCTCAAATGCTTCCTTACCTGATCAAACTCAAAGAGCACGTAGAAGCTGCATTTAAACACCGGACACACGAATAATAAATCGAAAACCGAAAGCACAGAAAATCGAATCGGAAAAAAAACACGCTTCGCTACCCGAAAGGAACCAGGCGAACCCGCTGGGTGTTTTAATATGACGTTAAAAACGATAACAATCAATCAACCATCAGATATCAATTCCCCAAGGATCACGAGAATTAAGACAAACCGACGCGAAACGTAATCAGAGGACGGCAGAGCGTAATTTAGAGGATCGCGGTTCAATAGATCGATGAGGACCGTCTGTGTCGCGGCGAACTGTCGGGGAACCGAACGCGGCGAGTGTCGTCTAGGTGGACGATCTTTCGACAATGGTGCACGGCTGACTGAACCCTCCGCGAGAACGGCCGGAGAAGGCTGGCTGGCTGGCCGGCGCGCGTGCACACGCAGCTGGCCACCGGGTAATCTACGAGAAGGTGGAGGAGAGGCGCCTCATGCACGAGTCATCGGGAACCCGTTACTCCGTTGGATACACGAACGAGATATCCGTGCTCGGGTTGAATAACCTTCGCGCCCGATGACCGGGGCCTTATGCTAAAGCGTGTAATCGTGACTACCTTGGCCGATCACCGGGGAACTGGGTGAATCCGAGGGGAGCAACGGCGCTGAAACACCTCGCGCAGGGCGCCAGGAATTCCTGGATGACGTAACCACGGGCTGCCGGCCAGCGGCCATTTTGTCGGGCCGCCGCGAAGCGTTCGAGCCCTTCGCGCTCGAGAGATGTGAATCTCGGTCATCGCTTGATTTGATACGGCAGAGTCGTGAAGCCTTGTTTACAGGTGACATTAACCCCTTGTCCTTGTGATTTCGCTGCTTGATAGGCGTACAAGTACCGGTTAATTTAATAGTTCACATCAGAACTACTAAGCTTCTTTTGGTATTATTGAGAAGGTAACCGATGGTTGAGAAATTAAATAAACAGTTGATTTAGCGATATAAAAATTGGAATTCTTGGAGTTTCTGTGGGAAAATTGGGGAATGTGGCTACTTGGTGTTTCTGGTGTTAATTGGTTAGATTAGAATTTTCACAACTTGATAGGGGTATTTTGTTGTTTTTTATTCGATGAAAGAAGAAAAGCATTCGATGGTTATGTTTGCTCTAGAGCACTAGGATTCGTGATGGAAAAATAATATGTAATTTTAAATTTGAAGGGATAAAACAACGTTTGTATTTGTTAAATACTGTTTGGTCTCTTTCTCGAGAGTGTCATAAGATCTTGTAAGGCAAATAGTAACAGAAACGACTGTAATATGTATTTCAATGATTATAATTCTTTCGACGGATTTTGGAAAGATGGTATCACCTTTCTGCGTTTTCGTGTTCTTCCTTGGATTCTTTCGACAGTGACATTAACAATCGTCCTCGTAATTGGAACGTTTTATGTTTCAAAGAAACGAATGCTGTTCTTTTTAAGATTTCCAGCAGTACGCCGACATGAAGCAAAAGGGAATCGAATTAATAAACAATCGAACAATTCTAAAAAATCCAAACATTTTCTGAAACGACCAGGAAGTTCGATGGTAACTTTCTCGAGTTGTCGAAGTACGGTGGAGATTGTGGTCCAGCCCATGAATAAAATATCAATTCGTAGAACGCGTTTGTTTTTATTGCTCCTACGCGCGAATCGGTTCCTCGGAAACTCGATTAAAGTAAATGGAACGAGCAAAATGGGGGAGATTCGATGTTCTTCCTATTGTAAAGCGTCCGTCCGTGTTGCGTAGAATCGTAACGCGAAGTTAACCACGGCCATAAAACAAATCGTCGGAGATCATGATCTCTTACACCGGGATTTCGACGAGATTTTTATCTTCGGTGTTAGTCCGAGGGACAAGCAACGCTTAATTCGTCCGAATCTGGCGAAGGGAACGTCGGATACCGTACATTTCCGTGGAACGCGGCTATAGAAACGGCGAAATTATACAGACAACGAGGCGCGAAACGAGTCATCCATTGCTCATTCGCGGATAACAGTATCCCCCAGGTATTTTAATTCTCTCCTACACTTTCGCGGCGTCGGGGAACACGCGATCCTCGATGTGTCGCCATTTTCGTTGAACGGAACTCGTAACATTTGATCGAAGTGAAACTGAAGAAATCGGTGGAACTTAATAAAAATATAGTGAAAATATATATAAATTTTCAACTAAAAGACATTCGTCCTTCTTTCCAGAAGAAATGTTGAAAAATCCATATTCTTCATCGAAAGAAGTGGGTTTCACCATTTTAACCCTTTCTAGACGACATTTAACCACTGATATTCTCTTTTTATTAGTTGATTACCATTTTTTCTAGTTTCTACGATTGAAGATGGCTCAAAGAAACGCCAGAGTTTGAATTGTTTATAGATTATTGTAACATTTGTAAGGAGAAAGAAGAGTTTGACAAAATTGGAAGAAACCGGATATTGGAGGTCGCCATTGAAGGATTTAGATCTTCTCAGACACAAAAGCTTATGGCTGTTTGTACGTTCTGAAGTGTCACTAGGGATTTAGTAAATCTTGATTTAGGATTGACTTTGTAATCGAAGCAGAAACGATGGAACCGGTTCTAAAGTTAAGCACCTTTGTCGCGATAGGGATCAAGTACAGCGTTGAGCAAGTACAGCGTTTACTTCAAAGGTACACGATTTGTTGTGTACCAGTGATCCACTTCCGTTGCAGTGGAAGCAAACGTGACAGGCGGTGGAACACATAGACCTCGCAATAAAATGAAAATTCACGCTGTAAAGGCAGTTTAAAATCATTCTTTAGACTATTAGATCTACCGTACCAGTCATAATGACCAATTCTAGTTTTCTCATTTCGCAATGATCAACGTCTTAGAAATATCAAACATCCCAAATGATTTTAAAAATTTCTATTAAACAGAAGAGAATCTGAAAATTGTTACAATTTTCATAAAAATTACATATTAAACATTTGCACTGGAGGCGCGCTTTTCGATCGCCGTTCGATTTGGCCCGACAAAATTATAAAATTATAAAACAAAATTCAGTATTAAATTTTACATAATGTATCGACACACAGAACATCGAAATAAAATAGTTCTGTCCCTTACTTTATGCAGGATATTTCTTTACCATAGTTCCAGAAAATATCATTGGTATTTCATCAGAAAATAATGAACGTTTGTAGAGAAACATATTCTCGAGTGCAGAGGGTCAATCATATTAATCATCTTGTCAATTATCGCAAATTCCTGCTCGATTCGCGTGTAACCTGAAACCGACTGAAAGTTCAGTTTCTTCTTATTCGGAAACGGGTTCTCGCTAGTGAAATTTGAATTTCCCGCTGAAGTAATCCTTTCTCCGGTTATGAGTGTCGTGTCGCTCTATCCGACATTGACACTGAGCCGTCGAACGACGAGGAAAGAATGAAACCCGTGGTGAAACTTGTTCCCAGTGAGAGGGGAATACGCGAGATCGTTCGGCCGAGACGTCGTAGCCGTGGAAAACGCGCGAACGTGGCGAAGCGGGGGCGGACAACCGTTTCCGGTTCGCGGCGACGCTCCTACAAAGCCGCCCCGAAAGAAAAAGTCCAGTAATTACGCGTTTGAATGTTAAGCAGTCGGACAAATGGCTTGATATACGATGCGAGAACAATTTTCACTTGTACGACGCATTTCACGGAAGAGGATCAATTATCTTTGCATCATCCCGCCATTATTAGTGCAACTCAAAATGGCGGATGATTTCTGAGGCGAGCCAAACAACGAAACACTCGCACTATCTTAAAAGAAACAATACTGGAACGACTTTTATTACATGGGAAAGAAGGTACTTCTCAATAACAGTTGACTTTGAAAAACTAAATTTAGAGGCTGTCTTCTATCTCAAGGAAGAACGTCTTAAAAAATATTTTTACGCTTAATATAATATTAAATCATTACCATTACGAAAAGACGGTTAAATGAAAATCCCTATCGAAAGTAAATGTCTTTTCCGCAAAGTCTGTCGTTTCTGTGAATACTCGAAAACTGTTAAAAAGATCATTAACACTAAAACTACCAGATTCCTTATTTCTTCCTTTGCAATTATCGAAGAGGTACGGATATCTATCAGGAATTATTAGTTTTATAATTTTATATCCACACTTGTAGTTTTTATAAAGAAATTTTCAGTTCAAGTGTTCGGTGCTTTCTAGCGTTAAGGAAAGCAACGCTTCCTGTTGGTCGAATTTGTCTAATCTCTTCGTCGATTCCACCTGAAAATTACGAAGCCAAGGATCTATTTAACGCGAAAGAGGCTTAGAAATGTACCCAGCTAATTACGACGCGGAATTGGCCAGGTTTGGAATCGGTTCCATGCAAAGCGATGGTAGGGCAGTTAGGTATACATGGTCGACCGTGTATGCAAGGGTGAAAAAAGCCGGCTGTCAGGAACCACCTCCCGGAAGATGTACGATATAATAGGAGAACGTGCTTACCGTCCCAGAATCGTAGGCAGACGTGGCTCTATGTGGGACATAGCGGCACTTCTTACGGCCATGGATACCTTTCCCATCTGTTAGCAAACGATGCCTATCGACATTACTGTCGCCAGACCATTTCCATGCGTGTGCGCGCGCCGCCTGGAAAAAAGAATTACTAATTAAACTTGTTCCTTCCCTGTGAACATAAAAATCGTTCCGGCAATGTTATCTTAACCCTTTGTCCTACAACAACGAGTGAGACTCGTGGTGAAGATTTTCAACATGATTCAACAAACATATGTATTACTCAGTTCATTCGAATTCGAAGTAAATATTATTCCTCTGTAATCAACTATTATACTTAAAAGGAAACATAGGCGTAACATATGCTTAGAATGTTTCTCTTTTTTCAGTAAATTATTCATGACAAAGTGGCTGTATCGAGCAGAGTTGAGAAAGAAATCATAGGCCAAGGGGTTAAACTAATTTGCGAACATTTGTAAGGGAAGGCGTCTGAACTGAACTAATAAATGTGTAGCGGTTGCCTAAAAAAATTGAGTTTATTTGTTTATTTTTAGTTTATTCGTTTATTCTTAGTCAGCTACACAAAATCAAACCGTTGGACCTGAATGTTTGTTCTACGAATATTATTATTAATTTTTTATTCGTGTATTTGATATATTTCATTTGTATATTATCGTTAACAATTTCTTCATCGATGTAACATAAATTAATAAATAATAATATGTCACTGTCAGATTTGTAGTTCCTTCGCTTTGTTAGAGAATCGTTTTCCTCGGGTTGCTCTGAACTGAAAGAATAAGAATCGAGCGGTACTTTCACGGTTGCATTCGAGTAAAAATAGTCATGAGACTATAACAGAAGTTCACCGAGACCATTAAAAATTGAATGGAGTACACGTGAAAGAAGCTTACAGTCTGAACACAATCAGTCCGTCATTCAAGTTACCCACACTGGTCGGCCGCAGTTTTCTTTAAGCTACAATGTGAGCCTGTATTTCAACTAGGGAGCTGAACTAATGGTAAATCGTCTAAAACACCGGTCTGGATGTAGATCATCGTTCATGACTCAAGACTGAACGATTCCCATGACGGTAATCGACACGATCGGCAGGCAAATTGTTGGGAAACGTTAACTGCATCCGTGAATCTTCGTTATTAGCATGATGGGACGCGTTAATGAAGGGTTGCGTCGCGGTAAGAAACATTCGAGGAAAAAACTCTCCCAGTTATCGTTACGGTATCGGGATTTCTGGAATATGAAAATCATCGTGTTTACGATCGAATCCGTTTTCTAACATGAAACAAATCACTCTATTTTCACCGAGCTGATAAAGAATGTCAATTATCATTTCAATCGATCAGAGGTCAAAACAATTAAATTCACATTCCAATGTTATCAAATTCCAGTGCTAAAATAATTGATCCTTTACGTATATATATATATCATTCCATCACATCTTTTTATTCTTCATTTGGCAGACTTAAACGTTTTGAAAACCGGACGGCTGATTATTAACTGAAATTCAAACTTCACTGAATACTACGGTAATCATTATACGCAATTGTCCCATGTTTCCGTAACAAATCACGTTACTTTGTTGTAGGTCAGCCCGCGCGTAACGATGCGGACGCCATATTGGAGAAAACGGGAAGGCCTCGTCAACATTATAATCTCCATCGAAGAATATTAATCTCCGAAATAACTTAATTACACCCCTCCATTCGCGACAACGATTGCTTGATAATAATTACTGCGTATCGATAGCAGAATACTACGGATGTAGTGCACTCGTCAATGACTTTTTACCCGATAATAACGATCGAAAGTGTAAAAAAGAGATGGAAAGTGAACGTCACGCGAAAAGTCCGGCCAAAGGAGATTCCAGTTCCGAAAAACTGGGGGCAATCGAGCGATTGTGAAATGCGTTTCAATCGGCCGTGGCAACTTGAAATTAATATCGGTCGGTCGACGCGCAATCCGCTCTTCTGTAACGTTGCGTCACAGCCGGGTGTATAAATAATTAAAATCGACGCGTCGTTGAACGGGAGCGCTTCCGCGACGAGCGGCACCGTTATCGATGAAAACGTTGACCGACGTTCGGTAATCCGTACCAATCGACGGGAGCCGGTCCCGATCTCGCGGTCGTGCACTTTTGCATCTTGCTCCATTTACAACGGAAGCAGCACCGCACACGGTTTCCTGTAATATTCGGTGTAAAAACCGGCGAGATTAGCTAATTAAAAACACGGTTATGCTTCTGTCCGCCCCGGGGCGACAGGACACGTATCCGGAGCGCCCGCTGTCTCGGTATCTTGGCTACTCTTCATCCTCTTACTATGATCCTACAGCCATCGGCGAGCGAATTTGTTGCTTGAAATATCTGTTCCATTTCCATGTACGGTGAAACGTTGGTTATTCGAAGTAATAGGTAAATTACTACACTAAACTTCCATAAACGATTTATCTAAGAATCGGACGGGTCTTTCAATACATCTAATAAAGATTGTTGATACTGTCGCGTAGTCTTGATACGTGATTAACGCTAAAACTACCGAGCTATTGAATTAACTTTTGAAAATTCCTTTATAGAAACCCTAAGAGTGCGACTATTGAGGCTTTAATTGATTTACAATTCAGTGTTCGTGTTGTTAAATCAATTTCTTTAATAATTTCCCAGGAATGGGTAACTTTGAGCCGCCTGGTAGTTTTAGTGTTAATCGCGTACTCTGATAATTGACGGATTCTGAAAATCTTCGAGAATTCGGGTTACCAACACACGTTCAATTTAACACAGAATGGTAGGATTCTGTTTTACCGACGAATAACGCTGGCATCTCCATTTTGTCGGTTTCTTGGGGAAAGACGGAACTTTCTTCTACCGCTTGCATAGATTTGAATTCCAGTTTGGAAATAATAAAGACAGGAAAATAGTGGAACAGTTTTTAATTGAATTAATCGCCCCCAATGTTCATTCGTCCTTACTCTTCTCCGAACATTTCATCTGATCTTATAGAAGATATCTTTTGATTAGAGTCTAACGTTCAATTACTGAAATGTATAAATAACCGCAATAAACATCAGCGGTTTACGAGATCTTTTTGCGATAGCTGTATTTCGAACGTCTACAGTAATTGAGAGTTAAATACTCATGGTAAAACGAAATCTTCTGTAGATTGGCAAGCCTGGAAAATAATAATAAATACTTTAATATAATGGAACCCCATCGTCGACCGGTTTGTTCGTTCCGCGTATAGGAATCGGCGTAAAAACTCGTCGAATATCGTCGATCGTTCGACATGCGTGCAAACGTGCGACGGGGCGAGTTCATCGATCCAGAAGAGAACGAAAGTTTCGTGGAAGCGGGGAAGGCGCGACACCGAAGAAGGAAAAAGTGACATTGGCTACCGTGAAACGGTACCAGGCTAACACAGACGTAAATACGTCTGAATGGCTCGGAAGCCAGACAGTGTAAATCACATTTTCATCTTAAACACGTAAAAGGTGTTTCTGTTATTAAAATTCTCGGTTAACAATTATCCTAGTAATATATTATTTACCGGCAGTTACTGAATCTTAAATCTCCTATGTACCATATTTTTTCATGGCAAAGATGGTATTAAAGATAATTACTTGTTAATAAATATCACAGTTTTCATTTTATACTGTTACCTAATTATTTACATTACGAAACATACATTTTCGAGATTAATTAACGCATTATAATTATTTTCAAACGATAGCCAATAGCAATGGATATTACAATCCCGAGTCATCAAATTATACTGCGTAACATAATCTAATTATTATAGGAAGCGAAAGAAAATTATATTCATTATGCTTGGAAGTTTCAGTATTAAAACACTCGATCGTTCCTTAATATACGTAATTTTATCAAATCTGTCCAAATGGCTCGTATATCGATAACTCGCAGGACGCCCGAGGAAAAGGTGCGTCCGCACGCTGATCGTCGTGGAGGATCTCGCTAAGCATGTCTGCTGGATGTTTATTAGATCGCGTCAGCTGTAACGGTGCAATAATAATTAATTACCGCACCGTGACCACCATTGGCGGCAACCACGGGACATGCATAGGGTGATCGATTAATTTTCAACCGCGAATTTACCCATGAATAAAGCGAACAATGAACGGTTTCACTGTAATTCAGTTCATCCAGTAATTATATTATTAGGCCATCGTTTCGTCGCACGACGAGAATACCCGAAGAGAAAACGTTGAACACCAACAGACGACCTTTCCTCGAACACCATGCATTATATTCACCATTTTTTTTAGTTACATGGAATTGATGTCATACAGTTGCAGTTGATCCTCCAACGCGGATGATGTTCTCGCGGAGGAACGGACGGTTTCACTTTGATCGTTTTATTGGTTTCGCGGTGAACATCCACCGGTGTCCTCGAAAAGGAGATAGCTCCGCTGAATCTCGGCTTTCCGCGGAGAAGCTTGGTTCCATCTGACTGACGAACGACATCCGGAAATGCCGGTGAACATTTGCAAATAGGAGGAATAATGGACGTTTCACCGTAATTATTCCGACGCGAAGAATAACCCGAGGAGAAAATGAACGCGACCTCAAAACGGAAGTGATTTCGATCCGAACGGTCCAGAACAGTTTCTCGTGAAGAAATTTCAATTTGAAATTAAACATCGACAGAGCAGAATGTACTCGATCGTAGTGGACGTTCTTGAAAAGGAGAACGAACGTTTCACTGCGATTACTTTAATACTTGTTAACAGGCACAGCTTAGCTGGGTCATAATTAATACAGAAGTTTCATATTGACGTAATTGAAATTGATGAGTGATGGTCATCATTTGATTGATACGAGAATGTTTCCAAAGAAGACGTTGCCTTGATAGCTTTATAGGTTTCATCGTGACGCCGCATTTCGCACACTCGCGAAACAACCAGCCAGGCAACATCGACAAAAGAATGAAATCTTTCCTCGGCGAACGATTACGTGCGATTTCTACCGAACGTATTTACAGACCGTACCATCAGAACCGTATATACTTCACGGTTTGCGAAAGTTCGCGCGTTAATTATCGCATCGTTATATAATTACGTCGGCTGTAAACCGAAAAAAGAGAGAAATGTTTGTAAACACAGTAAACG